AGAAAATGTGAGCCCAGCAGCTGTCTCCAGCCCACACCCTCTGCAGCCGCCACCTCTATGGGAGAACTGGCGGGCTCCTCCATGCAAGAGTAGGAGTTTGTCTCTGGGTTGAGGTTGGTCTGGGAGGGCTGGAAGTTCCACTGTCTCTTATGACCTCCCCATATTAAGGCTACCCTTGAAAATTATATGCAAGAGTCTCTGCAAAGCAGACCTCACTGCAGCAAGGGTCTGTACCTTCTGGAGACCTACTTCTACATCTGATTAGAGTCAGCCAGAAGTGGAGCATGTGATATGCTGGGTGTGCATTTGCATTCAGGATACCTTGTATATGTTCAAACTCATTTTCACACTCACATGGTGATTTAACCTGTGTACAACAGCACATGTACAAGCAAGGGGGCAGCACTTACAGCATAGGACATACCCTGATGTCTACCTTGACACACGTGCTGCAGCCATGTATACATATGTGTACATATAAACACATGTTCCCCACCTACAATCAAATGCATTAAAAACTCCTATAAGCATGGGTCCTTCTAAGTGTGCACATACCCACCCCCCATTTGTGCAGGCAAGGAATACGGGCTCCTTAGCCACACCCCTTTCTCTACACAGACACAGCCGCATATGCAGGAACACACGTGATGTTTGCACAGACACATCTTAAGATACACGGGGAAAAGGTGAACATTAAAAATGTACTCACATGGGTCAGGCATGGTGACTCACACCTATAATCCCTGTACTTTGGGAGGTTGAGGTGGGAGGATGGCTTGAGGCCAGAGTTCAAGACCAGCCTAGTTTTGTGAGAGTGAGTCTTTACCAAAAAAAAAAAAAAAGTATACATTTGTCTGGCAGGGTGTCTACTGAGGAGGAGGGGTGGAGTTTAGAGGAAGTTTGGTAGAGGGGAGTTGGAGTCCCTCAGGGGGAGAGTGTCTTCCCAACCAACCTCCTAGGGCCTGAGGGTCCCATGATGGGCCCTGGAGCCCTGCTTCAGGCAGGCAGAGCTGGGGGAAAGGGCAGAGACCCATGTGGCCCTCTCTTGGCACTGGCCTGGGTCCCCACTAGAGATGAGACTTGGGGGCTCCAAGATTGCCCATCAGGGCGCCTCTGTTCCTGCACAGCCTGCACCACATCTTCCACCTCCTCCCTTATCCTCTTCTTGGCTCCTGAACCCAGCAACCCGGCAGGAAGAGATAAATGTAAGCCCTGTGTCTCCTCCCCTAAGCATCCCACAACATGGCAACGGTTTCCAGGGGCAGAGGCTGGGTCTCAGTATTTAGGAGGAGCGGGGGATGGTATGTTTGCTGGGGTGGTGGGGTCAGTCCTGGAGTGAACTTCTCCTTGGAGGCCTCATTAGCTCACTCCCTTTGGGTGCCTGCAGCTGCAGACAGAGAGGAGTGGGGTCTGCAGGCAGCCCGCACCTCCTAATCGCCAGGCCAATTAGCTGCCCCAAACATGGGGGCCTCTCTGGGGGCTTGGCAGGGCCAATCATGGCTCAATCCTCCAACCTGCATCCTTCCTGGCAGAGGGGCTTGGAGGGATCCCCAGTGAGATGGACAGCTGCCTTTGATCCTGTGCAAAAGCTGATGTGACTTGGAAACAGGCCTGGAGACCCAGCTTGCAATTCCTCTTATGCACTTTCTCTGTGATGCAACTTAGTGAACGGGACCCCATACCCCTAGCCAAAATTTGGGGGCCACCTTTGCCTCTCCCTCACCCCCAATGTCCATCCATCTGCAGGCCCATCTGTCTCTCTGACTCCTCAATGAGTTGCCTCTTCCCAGACATCCAATCACCCAATGTTTATTGGCATTTACTAAAGCTCGCTGCTGCACCAGGTGTGCGGATGGACGGACAGCTGAGATAGCTCTGCTCTCCGTGGACGGGGGCCAGGCCGTGCACACAAGTGTGCACACTAGTACCATGCAGTGGGCCTGGGGTGTGGAGCAGTGGTCCTAGGCAGGTGTGCAGGATTGAACCACCGCACTCTGTATGTCCTTTCCCTACTCTGTAAGCCCCTGTAAGTCTGGGGAGGGTGGGCCTTTCAGGGGTAGGTATAGGGAAAGGGGCTCAGGAGAGAGGCTGGGCTGCAGGAGGAAAAGGAGGAGTCCTCAGCATGGAGGAGGCAAACACCACATAGGCATGGGGGGGGCAAATGATACCACCAAAGGAGGGTGTGCAGGGGAGAGGGGGAGGACCTGGCACAGAGCCACAGGACTCTGAGCAAGAGAACAGCCACCTAGGAAGGTCACTGGGGAGGAAAAGGCAAAAAGGAGAGCCGGGTGAGGGAGAGGGAAAGGGAGTGGTCTTCCTGGCTTCTGCCAGAGGACCCTGGGGGACACTAGAGACCTCTGAGGAGCAATTCCAGGGCAGGGGAGCCTCCAGCCCATCTGGGGAGCAAGGAGGAACTCCTAGGAATGGGTTGAATCTGACTAGCACACAGGGAAAGGAAGTACTCTATTCTGGAGGCAGGACCTGGTTCCATGCCGTCTCTGCATGCCTTCCTGTGTGGTCTTGGGCAAGTGCCTGCTCCTGTCAGGTCCTCAGTTTCCCCATCTCAGACCCATAACTCTAAGCTCCCTAACTTTGTGGCTTTGGCCTGGCAAGGATTTGGTTTTGTGAGTGACTGGCAGGGAGCCCAGGGAAGGCTTGTCCCACATCCTGCTTGAAGCCTCGAACCAGAGTAAGGCATGCACCCAGCAGGGTCAGAGCCAGGTGAGGGGGAGCTGGAAGGGCAGGCACTAGAGCCCCCAGGACTCTGTGGGAGGTTGGCCTCCACTTGCTGGTGACATCAGGGCTGGTGAATGTGGAGTGAGTTCAGCCAGGTCATCAGCCCTCACCTCCCTCACAGCCTGGTACAGGGCAGAGCCCAGTGGAGGAGGGAGGAGGGGGGAGGGGCTGAGAGGAGCCTCTGGGCCTGGGAGCAGGGCTGCAGCCTCCCCCACCTGTCATGGAGTCAGCTCATAGAGTGGTGCTGGTCCTTAGTCCCGCTGCCTTCCTGCTCCAGAATCACTCTCTCCCTCCCTCCCTCACTCCTTTTCTCCCTCCATCTCTCTCTGACTCTCCTTCCCTCCCAGGATCATCTTCAGCTACTGACTCAGTGGTCTGAATAGAGGGAAAGGAGCCAAGGGGGAGGGTTTGAATCTTGTACCATCTGCCTCCCCAGAACTTACAGTGAGCCCCATCTCTGCCCTTGACAAAGTTCCCACTTCAGCACCAGAAGGTGCCCCTCACAGTCCCCAAGCAGCTCTTTCTAAATATTCCGAAGATGGCTCAGAAGGGACCAGATAACTAATCTGGAGACTGTGGTTGGATCCTGGGCAGCCTGTGCCTACTTGCCTCCTCCCCCCTACCAGGGCTCCCACTTGGGCTTAGCTAGCCTTCCTTCTGCGCCAGCCCCTTTCCCCCCCGCCCTGCACTCCCTTGCCTATGGTCTAAGTACACAACTGTGTGGGGCCAGGGACCAACCAGTCCAGTACCCCTAAGCCTTCCCCACATCATCCTTTCTTGCATCTTAAAAGGAAAAGGTTTTCTCTGGCTCAGACCAGGGTTTTTGAAATCCAGGCTCCTGTGCTGGGACTTGTAGGGGCTGTGAGTGCTGTCTGGTGTGAGAGCTGCTGCAGCGGCATTTCTCAAGGTCTCTATCAAAGTTCCGCCTGCAGAAAGAATTTGGGGAGTGGTTTGGCTCAGCCTGTCCAGATGGCTACTTGGAACATTTGGGTACCCACACAACATGTACGCCTTCTGGCATTTGACTTTCTCATGAAATAATTGCTGGAAGGCTCCTTGGATTAGGTAACCCAGTGTCCCCTTGGGGCAGAGGCGAGAGAAGCAGCAGTCAGCATCTGTTAGGCTGATCCAAGTCCTTTGGGGCAGTGAAGTCCAGTCCAGGAGTGTTGTGGGCGCCAAACATCTTTGGGAACTGAGCACAATAGGAACAAGCCTTTCGGATTTCTGATTGGGGTGGGTCATCTGGCTGTGCCTTCCCAGACTCTGGGCCTCCTTCAGGCCTCTGCCCCCTGCAGGTGCCCAGTCCCCAGCCTGTGGGCCAGTTCTGGGAAAGAGAAACTAATCAGGAAAGCCTTTTGCACAAAGACGGATGAGATTCGTTCCCGTTTTTACTTTAAATCAGTTTTACTCTACATGTAGATGCTTAGCTATCTTTGGCCATCATCGTCTCATCATAAACCAACAACTGTTTCCATCTTCCCCTTTCTTGTGATGGCTAGAGACTGGGACGCTCATGGGGGTGAGTGGCCATTGTCCCAAAGCCGCCAGGATTTGGAGATTTAACCCTAACCACACCCCCTTTTTCCTCTTTGCTCTCTCAGCCTCTTCAAGATCCCCTTGGTAACCCCGGAGCCCCTAACGACCCCTGGTGGGAAGGGCACAAAGAACTTGCTCCGTAGAAGAGGGCTGGGAGGGGACCTCGCCACCTGTCTCTTCCCTGAAGTCTTGTAACAGGTGCAAGAAATTCCAGGCGAAGGTCCCACAGGTAAGTACGTGCATGTTGAGCGCCCTGCCCACTGCGTAGGGAGGGCGTATGGGTCCGGCCGGCTGTTCTGGGGGCTCCACCCCCAGCAGAACCCGTGTCCTGAGGGTTGAAAGCCCCTAAGGAATGCCTTTGGTTGTGGTCTCCAAAGTAAAGGCTACTTGGGGCCAAATCCTACTTCCGGTGGGCCTACAGTCGATCCCCTAGGCTGCACGCTGCTCCTTCGCTGTTATGGGAGATCCGACTCGGCACTTCCCACGCGGCTCCGCACCCCAGGGAGAGGAGACACACCGCAAGCTCTTTCTTCCCGCCCATATCCCGCGCGGTTTCGCAGGTCTCCAGCGGTTGGGGTGTCCCGGGGCCGGCCCCGCCCCCGAGGCCCCGCCTCCACCCGCGGACACCCAGTCTCCAGGCTCGCGAGGCCCGCCCCGCCCTGCTCCCGCCCCTCTGGCCGCCCCTCGGGCGAAGCCAACCTCCGACGGTCAGTCGCAGTACAGAGCTGCAGAGCTCGGATCTTCTCCCTTTTCCAGCCGGTCTTCAGACCTGTGCGCCAGCCTCGGCTATGGAGCCTGCCCCGGACGCTGAAGAGGCGCGCTCTGTGCGGGAGGCGCTGGGCCGCTACGAGGCGGCGCTGGAGGGCGCAGTGCGCGCGCTGCATGAGGACATGCAGGGGCTGCAGCGCGGCGTGGAGCGGCGCGTGGCGGAGGCGCTGCGTCTGGCCGGCCCGCTGGCGCGCACTGTGGCCGAGCTGCAGCGCGACAATCAGCGGCTGCAGGCGCAGCTTGAGCGCTTGACGCGCCAGGTGGAGGCGCTAGGTTTAGCGAGCGGGCTCTCCCCGGCGCCCGGCACGCCCAGCCCCCCGCCTGCGTCCGGGGTTCCGGACCGGGCTCCTCGCCTCGGTACCGCACGCTTCGCCAGCCACGCCACTTTCTCGCTGTCCGGCCGCGGCCAGGTGAGCCTGGGGGAGCACGGCGCACAGGCGTGGGGGTATGTACGCGTGCGCCGAGGAGTGCAGCTTCCCCCCCTCCCTGTGCTGCCCTTTTGCCCCGACTGCGTGCGTCCGCGCGCGTCTACTGGGTTGGGGGCTGTACCTTCACTAGCCGCTCGGACCAGGTGACCTAGGGTCCCGCCACCACTTCGAAGTTGAAGAGGGTTAGAGAAGCAGAAGCATTCCGTAGCCTGCTGGCTGCACCTGTCTCCGCCCCCTCCCTTTTTTTTTGGAGCTGGGCCATGTTTTCCCAGAGTTCTGCCTCCCTCACCCCTCTGTCCCTTGAAACTAAAGGCTTGGGTACCGAGAGGTACCTGGGGTCACGCTGAGCGTGTTGGAATGGTGAGCACCCCCTACTTGCACCCTTCGGCCTCCATTGACAGGCTCCTGTGTTGCTGCTTCACTGAGGCCTGACGGCTCCAGTTATTGATTAACCCTGACTGAGAACCCAGGCCCCTGTGTTGGGGGTGGAAGGGGCACATCTAGTTGGGGCATAACCTGGCAGTCGCGTTTGGGAACGCTGCTTTGCAGGGGGCAGATACCGTGAAGGGAGAGGGGGAAACTGGCCCTGAGCAGTGTCTAGATTCCTGGGGTCAGTGACTGGTCAGAGGCCTCTACCTGGAGGTGGGGTGGAGGCCTGCATGGAATAGTTACCTTGAGCATGGGCCTCCTGGAGTGGCAGGTGTGGGTTAGAATGTTTCCATGGTGTGTGCAGTGGCCCTTAGGTGGGATTTTCCATTCCTACAATGCATGTGCTCTAGGGTTGGGTTTCCAGGGTCTGGGTCTGTTGGGTTTTCAGGGTCTGTAGTCTGCACCTGCTGCCCCTCCTTGGTGCAATCCATTGGGCTCTTACATCTCCTGCTGCAGGCTGGGCTGCTCCTCAAGAGACCAGGAGGAAGGGATCCGATTAGGCTTTGTCCTGGAGGTCTCAGCCAGGGTGGGAGATGGCCGCAGACCAAGCAATACCAGCAGTGCAGACAGTTGGAGATGTTCTAACCCAAGCGCAGTAGTCTCTTCTCATGAATATCCCAGGGAGGTTTTCTACTGGAGGACCATGGCTTGCAGCTACTGGAGCAAATGGGGATGAGTGGAAGCTAAAAATATTCACTGGCCAGATGAATGGACCCTTGAGGTATCAGAGTAGAGGTGTGAGTTGTGAAAGCACCCAGAATGCTGGGCATTTGAGCTGTGTCCAGCAGGGGAGAGATTCTTTTTTTTTTTTTTAGAATTTTATTTTATTTTTTTGCAGTTTTTGGCCAGGGCTGGGTTTGAACCCGCCACCTTTGGTATATGGGACTGGCGCCCTATTCCTTGAGCCACAGGCGCCACCCCAGGGGAGAGATTCTTAAACTTTTTCTGGTGGCAGAACCCGTGGGTGTCCCAGTGCAAGAAAAATCTCAGCATCGTAGATGCGTACATGTGCATATAAGAGGATTCTCTCTAGTCATGATGTTTTACAATGGGAATTGGCCATTATTCACCAGTGCTAAGGTAATCCTCTTGGTTATGAGGTTGGTGTGTGAGGGGAGGGATGGGATCTTCCTTGTATCTGCCAATCTCTCTTAGGGATGGGTGGGAGACTGGAGGGTGGCTGGAGGTGGGTAACTTTATTGTTGTGGTCCTATTGAAAAGGCCTGAGCTGGCTGGTGCATAGATGGGGCTGCTTTGGGCAGGGGCTTTGAAGGGGTAACCAGCAGGCAGGGTAGTCTTTGGTTGTGAGAAGGGAGGCAGAGAGAGAACCCTGCCTTCGGGGACTACTGTGTCATAGATCTGGTTGGAGAAACCAGGCTCTGTTTGAGTGAGGCTGAACATGAAGGGTCTGTGGCACATCAGAGGAAGCTGTTTCAGAAGAGATAGATTCTTGGATCCAGTGCTCCAGAGAGTGGCTGACATTCAGGAGTTATCTGGGCAGAGGCAGAAGAGACCAGAGAAAAACAAAAACTAGGCTCAGTGCCTGTGGCTCAAGTGGCTAAAGTGCTAGCCACATATACCTAAGGTGGCGGGTTCGAATCCAGCCTGGGCCCGCCAAACAACAATGATGGCTGCAACCAAAAAAAAAAAAAATAGCCAGGCGTTGTGGTGGGCGCCTGTGGTCCCAGCTACTTGGGAGGCAGAGGCAGGAGACTCGCTTGAGCCCAGGAGTTGGAGGTTGCCATGAGCTGTGATGCCATGGCACTCTACCCAGGGGAATAGCTTGAGGCTCTGTCTCAAAAAAAAAAAAAAACAAAAAAAAACAAAAAAAACTAGGCCAGGAACTGTCAGGGAGCAAGGAGGGCCCAGAAAGTTCACTCTTAGAAATCCAGAGAGGAGAGCTCTTCCCCAGGAAGAGGTCAGGTCAGCAGGGATGCTTTGGCCTGCCAGGGACTGAGGACAGAGATCCCATTGGTGAACAGGCTGTGGGCTTCAGAGAGGCTCAAGAGGGGCAGTGATCAACAAGTGTAGCTGAGCACTGTGGGTGGAAGGTGGCCACTGTCCCCCTCTAGGTCACTGGCATTGCACCCCTTGAGCCCTGGCTCCCTGGGCCTGAGGCAGCTCCCCCAACTGACCCCAAAGCCCCAGTCCCCACTTTTCATATTGTCCGGCTTCCCCCATAAGCATTGACACAGGCTCCAGGCCACTTTCTGGTAGTAGAGGGCTGTGTGGAGGCACCCCTACATTCTGACTCATGAGCTGTGACAAGCAGTGCATGATTGGGTGCTTGGTCACAAATAAGCAAACGGGGTCCTGGGGCAAGACTGGACAGAGAGTCAGAGCTAGCCACTGGGCTGGGGTCGTCTGGCTTCCCATAGTCTGTGTCTATGTAGGAGGGTCTGGGTGTGAGGGTCTCATCCCACCTGCAGAGCTGGTGGTGGCTGGGCACCTGCTTGGAGTGTGGTGAGGCCTTGCAGAGGCTGGTGTCATGCCACCTGTCATTGCTAAAAAGCAATGAAGTTTCGAGACCCATTTGCTTTCAACTGGGACTGATGGGGTTAGAGGCGAATTGTCCTCAGCATACAAATGTGCCTTGAACTCCATGCAGAAAGTGTTGATCAAGTAAATGGCTCCTGAGTGTTCAGAGTACACAAATCTTAACTTTGCTACAGCAGGAACAGTGGAGAAATGTTCAGGGAAGCGCTGGTGGGGGAAGCAGGGCAGTACAGTGGGAGTAGACTCCTTGAAGGAGGCCCAAGACAGTGCAGGAGACAGGAGCTGCTTTGGGAGCTTTTGCTTTGAGCCTCTGGAGACATCTCCCAGCTGGATTGGCTGAGTGGGCTGGGGTCAGTCTGCCTAACTAACACAGGTGTCCTCATTGCCACTGCTGTTGTCTGGCAGCTGAGAGGCGCCAGGTGTGTTCTGGGATGGATGGCAGCTTGAGGCCAGGCCCAGACCTCAGCAGAGTGGGCCAAAGTTGTTCCCTGGAAATGTCATCATCAACTAAGCTGGAGCCACTGGGTCCCTATGGCCTAAGCGCTGGAGTCCCTCTGGAGTGGCTGCCAGGAGCCTGGTGTCAGAGGCCTGACCGTGAAAGAAACCAGACTTGCCTTATCTGCCTTCCTTTCCCAGACACACAGTGTGATAAGAGAGTTAAATGCTTTAGGGAGAGGTTTGGATCCAGTGCTTTAAAACTGTGGCATGAGTGGAGGAGGCCGGGGCAGCAGGGTTAGCTGTCTCAGGATGGGGTTCTGGCCCTGCGTGGGTTGTCTCCTTGTGTGAGCCGTGTGGGTCAGGCAGCACCAAGAAGGCCCGCAGTATTCAAGTCCCCCTGCCCCCCATGAACATTTTAGAACTTCCCCAGTAAGGGCAGCGCCTGTGGCTCAGTGAATATGGGTGCCGGCCCCATATACTGAGGGTAGCAGGTTCGAGCCCCGCCCCGGCCAACCTGCAACAACAACAACAAAAAATAGCTGGGCATTGTGGCTTGGCACCTGTAGTCCCAGCTACTTGGAAGGCTGAGGCAGAAGAATTGCCTAAGCCCAGGGGCTGGAGGTTGCTATGAGCTGTGACCCCATGGTACTCTACTGAGGGCAACAAAGTGAGAGCCCTCTGTCCCTAAAAACAAAACAAAAAAGTAAGAGAGTCTAGTCTGCCTAGAATCCCTACAGTGTGACTTATCCCATCACCCTCCCTGCCCCCCAGGTCTGGGCTTCCTCATGGGCTACCTCCCCCTTCTTAAAACAATACCAAAGTGGGGACAGCAGGACCTGTCCACAGTCTTTAGATTCTCCAGTGATTTCTGCCCTAGCACAGAGCCAGGCCAAGAACCCCTGCCTGGTACACTTGCCCATGGCTGAGGCGGGCTGCCCCCACTAAAGGCAGACAGCAACCCACAAAGTCAGTGTACTGGGGACCTCCATGGCAGGGGAACAGCTTGGTTTAGCCTGGTCCCGCCCAGCCTTTTGGTTTAGAAGCTCTGAGTTCTCTGCTGGTCCTGCTGCCGTGGTTACCCCAGGCTTACCGCCTTTCCTTAGCCTCAACCAGCTGGGACAGGTTCCATGGGGCCAGGGCTCACCCTGAGCCATGTCCTAGAACACAGGTTTAGGTTGGGTGTCCTCTCTGACCTCTGAAAGGCCAGGGCGCTTTGTGGACAGAGGCCTAGGTTGGATAGGAGACCTGAGTTCCAAACCTTGACTCTGCCACTACTTTTTTTTTGAGACAGAGTTTTACTCTGGTGCCTTGGGTAGAGTGCCATGGTATCATAGTTCACAGGAACCTCAACCTCCTGGGCTCAAGTGATCCTTTTGCCTCAATTTTTCTATTTTTAGTAGAGATGGGGTCTTGCTCTTGCTCAGGCTGATCTTGAACTCGTGAGCTCAGGCAATCCACTTGCCTTGGTCTCTCAGAATGCTAGGATTATAGGCATGAGCCGCTGCGCCCAGCCTCTGCCACTACCTTTTGCCATGGTGTGGGTTTAGGAGCACCCTACCTCACCCCTCCTGGGTGTAGTTTCCTATCTGTGTGATGATGGGCTGAAGGGTAGTCTCACAATAGCCCTTACTCTTTGACCTGAGGCACACAGGCAGAGCCCTTTCCTGGAAGAATGAGGAGCGGGGAACCTGAGGGTCTGAGCTCAGCCCTACTCCCAAAGGCAGACAGCCTCCCACTCTGCCTTGGCTGGAGACGCTGGAGACCCATCAATAGGAACCCAGTGGGTGCAGAACCTGTTTCCCTCTGTTTCTGATTGTGGTATCTGGTACCCTGGGGCATCACAGGGGATGGAAGGCATGCATCGTGCACAGAAAGGTGTCTGGGGTCCCCCCCAGAGACATACATTCCTGGAAAAATGGTTTCGACATCAGTCTGTTCCTCCAGGCCCCTGCTTGAACCTGTGGAACCTGTCAGACCAGAGCGGGGTGGGTTGGGGGACATGGAGACCTGGAGCCTTGCTCCCTGGTAACAGTGGGGACTGGGGTTCCAGTTGGACTGGCTGGATCTCTTTCCCCTGCTGACTCCAAAGGGCCTGCCCTCTCCTCCTCTCTTCCCCTAAACCAGAGGTTAAGTCCAAGGCCAGCCTCCCCCCAGGCTCTGGGTCTGGCCTCTCCTACTCCCCAGAGACCTCACCCTGCAGATGGCCCTGTCACCTTGGCAGAGCCTTTCTCTCAGGCTGTAAATGTGGTCCTGCCTCTTTCATCTGGAACCACCCCCCCCCATCCCTTTCCCCAACCTCTTATGGCTAAAATTACTGTGTTGTCTTAATTTCTCTCCGACTGCTCCATGGGCTGTCCCTTGCCCCTCGTCCTGTCCCTTGGGCTTGGATCACTAGTGACCTCTTTTTTGCTAAACCCCATGGACACCTATTCCATCTCCTCTTGACCTGCTTTTCCCTGGCCCCTCAGGCTGCTTCTGGAGGCACCTGCCTTGCTCCTGGCTTTCCGGATATTCTCCTGGCTTCTTCCTACCTCTCTGGCTGTTCCTTCTCACTCTCTTGCCCTGACTCCTCTCTGCTTCCTAAGATGTGCCACCTCATCCCAGGCCCCTGTGTGCCCCAGGCTAGCCCTTCCTGTCTGTGGCTTCCAGGGACCCTTTGGGAGCTGTGACTTCTATTTTTCCATCACTCTCATCCTTCCTTTCTCTTAAACTTCAAACTTAAATATCCAGCTACGTCCTCAACTCCCTGGTGTTCCAGGGGCCCCTTGTATTCATTCTGTTTCCCCGCCCCTCCCCCACCTGCCTCTGACCCATCACCAACCTCCTTCACCGCTACCCCTAATCACTCAGGCACCAAGCCTGGGCTTGGAAGAGGCTTGGCATCCTTTCTTCCACCACATCCACTCGCTCTCCCCGCTGGATCCCTTTCTTCCAAAAGCTTGCAGTCCTGCTTGCTCTTGGCCTGCTCCCTGCCCTGTTTTCCCTCCCCAGGTCTCTGCCTGGGACTAGTGAGGTGACCTGCCTTATGCTCTCCCCTTCCACGTGGCCGTCTCACTGCCTTCAGGAGGACATTCCTGATACACAGAGCTAATGATCTTTGGCTCCTTGTCTAAGGCTTCAAGTCCAAGTGCTTGGGACAGGTGGCTTGGGCTTCACATTGTTTCTTTGGCTGCCCATGTCCCAGTTGTGTGTGAGCAGAATACCTCTGCCTTGATGTCTCCGCTTTTGCAGACGCCACTCAACTGTGCATGGCCTCCCCTCTTTGCCCAACTGGCTCACTTCAGACTTGGCTCAGGTACTCCTTCCTCTGGGAAGCCTTCCCTGCCCTGCTGGGCTAGATGAAGTCTGTCTCAGACATCCCCATGATGGCTCAGCCCTGTCTGTTTGTGATCTTGGCTTCTTTGCTTGACTGATTCCCCCATGGCAGGGTGGGCACCTTCTGCACTGGTTGCAAGAGGAGCTGAGGGAACAAGGGTGTGGTGTTGTTTGTCTGAGAACCTTGTAGACCAGGGTGCTAGCCTGTGGGCATCTAGGGACTGACATGGCCACCTGTCATGGGCTCCTAGGAGAGCCCCCACCAGCCCCTCAGACGCTCTCAGCCCTCCACATTCCCCCACTGGGAGTAGGACAGGACCGAAGTTGAGGAGAGCTTTTCTTCTGCCACACATCCCAGCTGTTTTCCGCTAATGACCTTGGGCAGGACACATCCCTTCTCTGAGCCCTTAGCCCATCTGTCAAATGGGGCTGGCTGTACCTACCTGGGAGGATGGAAGCAGGTTAGTATAAGTGGTGTGGAACAAGGGCCTGACGTCTAGGAGATGCCAAATGGTACTCACATGGCCTGGGCAGTCTCTCCCAACCCCAGTCACCTGGTCCAGCCAAGGGGAAGGAATAGGGCAGCCGGACACTATTCAGAAGCCTCAGTCTTGACCTTTGTCCTCAACTATTTTGTCCTCCAGGATAGGCCCAGTGAAGGTGTTTGCCTCTCAGCATCCTTGGGGCTCTGTGGTTGGGGTGCACTCTCCCAGCTTGCTGTGTGACCCAACACTGTACCTCTTGGGGGCTAATTTCTCTCAAAATGATTAATGTATGCCCTGTGCAGGAGGGGCTTTGGGAAGTGACTTTAGGGTGGACAGCTGGCCCTTGTTGATGCTGACGGGGTCTTAGTGATGTTTATGTCTCTGCAGAGTGTGGATCATGATGAAGCCAGTGAGTTGGAGATGAGAAGGACCTCAAACTCATGTGTCATCGAGAATGGGCACCAGCCGGGGGCAGGTAGGGGCTGAGGGATGGAGGACGGGTGACTGGCAGGTTTGGGGTTAAGGCCTTGGCCATGCTTCTGTGCCAGGCCATCCCTTGGCTGGGGGAGACCTGAGCCTGAAGCCCAATATAGTAGAGAGGCTGCTGGCAAAGTAGCCTCATTCAGTGGGAAGCAGAACTTTTTAAGCACAGTGGGAAATGGGCCATCTCAGAAGTTAGTAAGGCTCTCTGTTCTGGAGGAAAATTAAGTAAGGGCTGAGGAATTTGTCTAAGCACTGACTAGAATAGAGAGTAGACTGGCGAGCCAACTGGTATTTATTGAGCTGACTACAGGAGACCTTGGGAAGAATCAACTCTGGTTGGAGCAGTAAGACATCTGTGTTGGGGAGGTCAGGGGCCCTCCCTGGAGGAGGTGGAAAGAAGGTTTAGGGAGGCTGCAGCCTCCTGGGAGGTCAGAGGCCCCTGTAACTGCCACACCCTGTAACCCTGCTGGTCGCATGTTCCAGGTCCAGGTGACGCACCCCTCGAAGTTGCCCACACCTTCCCATCACCGGAGACCCCCAAGCCTCGCCCTGTGAGCCTCTCCTTGCGGCTTCCTCACCAGCCGGTCACAGCTGTCACCCGAGTCTCTGAGAGGTTCTCTGGGGAAACCTCAGCTTCAGCTCTATCACCCACATCTGCTGCCATCCTGGGGGGCCTTACACCAAGCCCCAGTGAGGCCACCGCACCCTGGACTCCCAGTCCTAGTGGTATGAGCTGGAGAGTGTGGCTTAGGGGCAGACCTCAGCATGGGGTGGGAGAGGGAATGCAGGGGTTGGGGGAGGTGGCACAACTCTTCTCCAGAGGTCCCGTGAAATAGTGTCATCCCTGTTGGGGGCAGCCGTGGTTTTTATTATAGGTCGAGGCTGTGGTTGAAAGGTAACCTCTTGGCCTGCAAGGCTGGCACAGTCCCCTCCCTAGGGCCCCTGCGGCTGACTTGGGCCTGTGGTCAGGCCTCAGTGGTGTGTCCTGGGGGCAGCTGTGTGACCTTCCATTGGGAGGGTCTGGGGCAGTGCTTGCTGGAGACACAGCACGGGAGGCCTGGGCTGTGCTCTGGAGAGCAGGTGGGGACAGTTTAAAAGACCTCTTCCATGTCCTTGCTCTGCTCCCACCCTCTTTTCTCCCCACTTCTTGCTCAGGGGCTCAGCCCAGGGGCTCTCTGAGCTGAGCGAAGAGCTGGGTGAAGGGCCCGGGCCAGAGGGAGGGAGGGAGGCTGCGGCTGCCCATCCCTGCAGCCAGTTTTTGTTATTTCTTCCCCTGCTTCATCCTGCAGAGAAGAACCCCCCTTTCACACGGTCTTTGTCAAGCTCTGGCTTCGGGGCAGTGGCAGCAAGCAAACGCAGGGACAGGTGAGTCAGGACCATGCTCCCCAGGGGCGCAGCCTTGGACCCAGGCTGCCAGGTCACCTGTAGGTAGGGTGTTCCCTGTGCTGACCTCCCCTCCTCTGGTCGCTGCCTTCATGAGTGCTGGGCATCCAGAGCGCTAGGACAGCAGGGCTCTGGACAGGCCCTGGGCAGCAGAAATGAGGCTTTGGGACTTGATAGGAACTTTGTTTGGAGAAATATGGCTCCAGCCTGGTTTCTCTGTGGACTCTTCAAAGCATGTGAGTTGAAAGATTGGAGGTAGCATCTTAGCCCCCACGGGAGGATCTCTTCCTTCCCTGCCAAGGGGTGGTTATGTCCAGAGAGGGGGCTCACTGTCCCTTAGGTTGGGCCTGCTGGCCAGGCCTGCTTCCACGGCAGCTCAGTTTAGAAAACCCGCCAAGCCATTTTGGGCCTGGAGCAAGTGGGGCTTCCCCTTTGACTGTTACCATAGTGCCCATGGTGGGTATAGATGGCTTGCCTTGCTCAGGCTCAGTGTGGAGAGAGACCCTGGAGCCTGGCAAGCCAGCAATGGGTGTTCCATGTGCCTGACTGGGTGGTTCTCTCCTCAGCTCACCACTGGTGACGCCACCCCAGTCACCCTCGTCCCCTCAGCCGCCAGCCATGACTCCGGCCCATCGCCCTGGAGAGCGTCGCAGGGAGCTGGTGAGGTCGCAGACGCTGCCCCGCACCTCGGGGGCGCAGGCCCGGAAGGCCCTGTTTGAGAAGTGGGAGCAGGAGACAGCGGGCAAGTACGGACGTGCAACTGCAGTCCAGGCTGGGTTCCCAGAGCAGGCCTGGACCCGGACGGGTCAAGTGGGCACAGAGGAGTGAGGCTGGGTCTTATCCTGTTTCCCCAAGGCATAGTTCCCAAGATGAGGCATCTTGGTCAGGGCACAAAGTCAGGGCTGGGCCACAGGGCAGGCTTGGGGGGCAGAGGGCCCCAGCTGTGGGGAGAAGTGGGCTGTGAGCCTGGCAGAGACTGTGAGAGCCCCTCTCTTCTCTTGCACCCGCAGTTTCCCCAGGCTGCCCTTATACCACCTTCCCCATTGGTTGTGTCACTTTTAATTTTTGTGTATGACTGGGGATTCCCAGCTGCAGCTGGAGGCCCAGCTGAAGGGCTAGACTGGATGAAGGAAGAGGTGACACAGTGGAACCTGTGTACCCACCAGCCCACTACTGTGCCCTGTGAGGGACGGAATCCTTGGCCTGTGTTGGCGTATTTATCCAACTCTCTTCTCAGCTCGTGCTAGTGATGCTTGCTTATGTAGGGTGTGGCCCAAGCCTGCCCTCCATCCCCACCCCCAATCACAGCTAGTCCCTGTTTCATGCTAGCGAAGGAGGCAGACCCAGGAAGCATTCCCACTGACCCCAGACAACCTGGTATTAGGGAGTGTCCTTGGAGCCTGGGGGAGGAAACAGTCTCTCCTGGAGAGGAAGGAGCCATTGGGAAGGGAAGCCCTCTGTTAAGAGGGGGTTTAGGACTGAGGGGTGGGAGGAAAGGAAGGGGAAATGTGCCCCAAGTAGAGGGCAGGGCACAGGGCCATGCAGGGTCAGGTCCTCTGTCTCAGGATTGACAGAGGAAATAATCTAGTATGGAAATAAGCAAGGGACCTAGAGGGCCCCACTGATGCCATCAAAGGTGGCTGTGTGTTTGCACTATGGGGCACAGGGCTGCAGGCTGACAGGGGTCTCTCTGGGGTGAGCACAGCAGGTGGGGCATCCTCTCTGCTGGTACTGTAGGGACACCTCCCTGCACCCAGACCCTGGTGGCAGGTGGGGTGCTCCCCACAGCAGGCCTCGCTCTCTCCATAGGGGCCGAGGGGAGGCCCGGGCCAAGCTGAAGCGCTCCCAGAGCTTTGGCGTGGCCAGCGCCAGCAGCATCAAGCAGATCTTGCTCGAGTGGTGCCGCAGGAAGACTCAGGGCTATCAGGTAAGGCCCGGGGGCCCACCCCTCTGGCTAATGGGACCCCCGGCCAACCGGGGGGGGGTCCCAATGTCCGGTCAACCGAACATTCTCCCCTCAGCAGGGCGAGAATGCACCCAGCCTGGGGGGAAGGGGTAGGAGCTGGAGAAATTCTGGCTGCCCATGGCGTGTGCTTAGAAATTCCGTAAGTCCGTATCTAGGCCCGCACACTGACCCCACTCGCTGTGCTTGTAGCACGTGGACCTGCAGAACTTCTCCTCCAGCTGGAGTGACGGCATGGCCTTCTGCGCCCTGGTGCACTCCTTCTTCCCTGATGCCTTTGACTATAACAGCCTGAGCCCCACGCAGCGGCAGAAAAACTTCGAGCTGGCCTTCACCATGGCTGAGTGAGTATGGCAGATCCTTCTGGCTGTCAGCTCCAGCCCAGTCCTGAGCCCAACTTCTGCCCTGGTTGGGGAATGAGGAAAAGCAGGATAGCAGCTGTCTGCAAAGCTGAAGGACCTGAGACCTTTTAGTCTGTCTGCCTCTTGTACAGACAGGGAGACTGAGGCCCAGAGAGGAACTTGTGCAGGGTCACACAGCGCTTGGTGGTGGAGCAGGGCTCTGTTGCTGAGGTGTTTGCCCACTTTGCTGAGTGCCCAGCTCTGGGGTACAGTCTAGGAGACTGTCCACAGACCAGGTGTGAGGGGCAGTGGGACAGGGTCCCCGAAAGTACTGTGTCTGCCCTCCTGGGGATGGTGCAGAGAGATACTTGCTTGGATGAGCCGCAGCTGCCCATCAGCAAGAAATTGGACAATATTTAAATAAATAGATTTTTTGCTTCCATAAGATTTTATGTCCCTAATTATTGTTTTAGCATTTATTATGTAACTGCCTACCTTCTTAAGTCTTACTCCTGGGAAGATTTAGGGGTGGGGAAGTGGCTCTGGGATTGGAAGACATTTGGTCATAAGTTTGCCAGTATTCAAACAGGCAATTTTTTAAAGTAACACACATGTAGCTCTTATAGGCATTTTTGGGGGGTGGTTTTTGTTTTTTTTTTGAGACAGAGTCCTATTTTGTCACTCTCGGTAGAGTGCTGTAGTATCATAGCTCACAGCAACCTCAAACTCTCCATCTTAAGTGATCCTCTTGGATCAGCCTCCCAAGTAGCTGGGACTACAGGCGCCCGCCACAATGCCTGGCTATCTTTAGAGGCGAGGTCTCACTGACTGGGAGGCATTTGGGAAGCCAACTTGGGAAATGGCCAAGGGCAACCCCCAGAGCATCAGGAGACCTGGCAAAGTGGGGTCTGTGTAGCAGGGGCCTGGCTGGGGACAGGTGCACGTTCAAACTGGGTGAGGAGAGTTTAATACTGGGACTCTTTACAAAGCAGTGGGCAGGAATGAGGTAAAGGAGCCAGGCCCAGTGTAGTAGCCTTGGGATAACAGCAGCACAGAGCTGTCAGAGCTGAAGTTATGGGAACTGGAGTGAACAGCTGTGTGCAGGGGACTGTCTGGTAGAGCCAGCCAGCTTGCAGTGACCTGGTGAGGCCGGAGCCACGGGCCAAGTACCTTGACTCACTCTCTTCCTTCCTTAACCAGGGCCTATTGTTGGCTGAATCCTATCAGAAGACAGGGCCAGGAGCCATCACAGCCCCTGGAGCAGGGAGTAGGGCATGGAAAGGTGGTGTTGGGGGCTGCCCAATGCTAAGCTCTCTGAAGGTTAGAGAGAAGGGAGGCGGTTGCCAGAAGAGAGTTTCCTAGAGGGTATATTTATCATCCTCTTTCTGCCTTTGTGACTGTGTTGTCAGCTCAGCCTTTGTTTTTGTCTGGGTCCTCAGGGCCCACGTCCAGGGGGTGGCCCTCATGTGCTCCTCATGTGCTTTCTGGGTTGACAGAGACCTCACTCCTGGGCCTGACCACCCAGCCTAGCCTCTGCCCCATCCCCTACACCAGGCCCTGAGCCCAGCCAGGGAAGGAGTGGGAGCTGGTGGGGCTTATAACCCACACTTGGTATTGTAAGTCTCACTGGTCTCGCCTTGAGCTGAGGTAGCCGCCCTGCTTTGCAGCAGAACCGAGATTCTGGCCTGAGTTTTTGGAATATCAGTATCAGCCCTGTTGTGTTTTCTGGGGTGACGTGCTCGGACTCTCAGCCCCCGAGGGTCATAAGAACGCCTTGTATACTTTAAAAGCTTTCTCTTTCTTGGCTGCTTGGGATTAGTTGTCATCCTAATTGCAGAAACAGCTTTGGACGAGTGTGTTGTGCAACTGGATCCAGACGACGGTGAAGTGGAGCCAAGTGTGAGGGCACGTGGTAGGGAGGGGCGGCTCCCGGGGAGGAGGCCCAGCTGTGTGAAGCCCAGACATGGCAATTGTCAAAGCTCAGACTTGGGAGTACATAGGACTCTGCCATGGGCACCCAAATACCCAGCCTAGAGGTGTGGCCTGACCCAGCTTGCAGAGTTCATTGTCTAATTCTAGCAGTGCCAGCGCATGCCCTGGACCCTTTGGTCACACTTAGCCCTGGACCAGTCTAGGTTGTGGTCGGGAGAGGGATGCCCTGAGACATGGGGTAGTGCCTCATAGGGAACACAGCTTCCCTTGGCAGTGGAGCCAGCGCCATTCCAGGCCATGTGTTTTCCCGGCACAAGGTTTGAGTTCGTGGGGACTCTAGACTCCAAAACAGATGTTCCTTCTCTTCCTTCCCTGGAGTGGGGGGTGGTGATAGAGGCTGGTCAGGGCCTTGCCTCCCTCTTTCCTAGAGCAAACAGCAGGGTAGAAACCTTGGCCCTGCATCTCCTTGGCCTGAGCCTGTTCCTGGCTGGGGAGAGGAGGATGCTGAGATGAGTTTTTGTTTTTCTGCTGACCTGAGGGGGCAGGAAGGGGCGTCCACAGCAGGCCTATGTGTGGAGCTTGCTCAGAGACCAGGGAGGCACCTCCCCTCATGAGTCATCCATGAGATTATCTCCCAGGTACCTGGGGGAGAGGGCTGACTGCCTGGGGCCCCTTGGGAGGAGGGGATGGCCAGAGGAAGGCAGCTTGGATCATCTTTTTCTTGGACAATAGGCTGGTTAGAAAAGCTGGCAAGACAGTGCAGGGACACCTGCTTGGGGACACAGGTTATTGTTGCCTTAAGGTTTGCCAGTGAAAGCTAAGCAGACATGTGGGGCTGTTGGAAGCCACCTAGAGCTACACAGGCAGCAGGACAGAACTGAGAAAGGCCCTTTGCAGGGGCAGGTAATGTGGGACGAGTGATGCCTGGGGTCTGATGAAGGCTGACCTGCGGTCTCCCAACCATAGGTCCACTTGGAATCAGGAAGGAAACGTTTCCAGACCCTTCCATGAGCAATTGCCTTAAGGGCTCAGAGACACATCAGGGACCTTTGGAGTAAAAGTGGCATGTGCTGCCCTTCCCCCCAATAATTTATGGTCTCAGAGATTCCCTGTGGCCTAATCTGTGTGAGTGATTCGGTGTTGACAGCGTAGTGAGCTTCCCTAGCTTGACAGGTGTTCTGGGCCTGGAACAGGGAGGACCAGCCCCTTTTATGGAAGGGGCTGAGTCGGGCGGGTGCCTGACCCTCCTGCACCCTTCCTTCGCTCACTGCAGAGCAGAGTGCAGGACGTGCGGCCTCAGGCTCCCTGCTTGCCCTGTGGGGAATGTGTCCTGCTCTCAGGTTACGCTGGGAGCAGAAGGGGCTTCCAGGCTATTTGTAGTGCCCATGTGTCTCTGTCTAAAACCAGACAGGAGGTAGTAGTAGGAGCCCTGTCATCCTGGTCTGCATTTAGAGCAGGCTTCAAAAAATAAAAATAACCCCCTGCCATTCTCTCTTCCACCTCTTTTATAGGCCAGCCCTGTGGCAGCTAAAGTCATAAGAGGTAGATAGGAGCAGGAGAAAACCTGGCAGGAAAGGTTTTATGCAAATCCTCTTTAAAAATGGTGGTCAGCCCATGTCAACCCTGGTTCTTGCTGTGCAGTGATTTAGACTTTCTCCTTCAGACTTTTTCATGTTGTTTGAATTATTGAAACAAACTTGCGTCGTTTTTACTAAAGCAGTTTGTGTAATAAGTTTAAAAGGCATGTGGGACCTCTAATATTTTAAGACTTCAATCTTATCCTTTCTCCAGCATTTTGTTTAATCCGTGTCGGCAGCTTGTAGGAATCCTGCTGTGATAGGCTGAGTATTCCGTATCTGAAATGCCTGGGACCCAGAAGTGTTTTGGATTTCAGAATTCTTTTGGATTTGGGGGTATTTGCATTATCCTCACACATCCAAAGTCTGAAATGCTTCACAATCTGAAACTTTGAGCGCTGACGTGATGCTCAAAGGAAATACTTGTTGGAACCTTTCAGGTTTCAGATCTGAGATGCTGAACCTATACTGCTGTAGCTGGCATCGGAGTGGCTCCAAGGGAGAGTGCTGGCTTTGTGGGGACAATCTGGGGTGCAAAAGGCAAGTGTTCTTTTTTTTTTTTGGTTGCAATTTGGCTGGGGCTGGGTTTGAACCCACCACCCTCGGTATATGGGGCCAGCGACCACTCACTGAACCACAGGCACTGCCCAAGGCAAGTGCTCTTAAGGGCCTGGCGTGGGCTATGTTATGGCCTCAGAGCCAGGGATGCTCTCTGCCTGTGGAGAGAGAATTTGGAACTCTGCAGAGCAGGAAGTGGGTGAGGGCAGAGGTGGAAGCAGGAAGGAAAAGAGGGAGCTGGGGGATGGTGGCCGCCTCTTGCATATTGCAATTCCCGTTGTCGGGAATCCCCACACTCTAAGTGAGCTCAACTTAAAGATAAAAGTGGTGTGGGGTGAGGTCGGGTGGGGACCAGATAGGTTATGGCCCAGGCCCCTGGTGCCTGCTAGGGAGGCCAGTGCCTTGCTCACAGGCAAGGAGGGTGACACCAGGGCAAAGCCTCAGCTCACGTCCTCACTGCCACCCTGATTTCAAAGACTCTGCCTGGGCAGTGCAACCTTTAGAACAGGGAGAGGGCGGATGGGCTTGCTCTCCTCCACACAAGCTGTACAACCGCTGGAGAATGCAGGTTCTAAGCGCCTCCTGAGAGGTGGACTAGAGAGGAACTAGAACTTAGAACAGGAGCGGGTGTTGGGTACCCTTTAGGGGGATGGTGGAGGAACCAGAGATATGTGTATTTACAGACATGGCCGTGAAGGTTCTCTTCCAACATGTAAAGGGCTCTTTTGTAGGGGAATAAATTAGGCTGAGGATAAATAGCCTTATGAAACCAAGAGGCAGAAAGTACAAAGAGGCATAATAGCCTAAGAAACCAGGAAGAACTTTTTCATGGTCAGAGCCATCTGCAGAGGGGTTTGAACTGTCCTTGGAGGGAAATTAGATTCCCCTGTCCCTGCACTCGAGGCAGGGCCTTATAGAGATGCCTGGTGCTTGGGCAGGAAGACGTTTGGGTTCTCTCCCAAGGTGGAGGTGCTGGGGTTCTACTGATGTCCTCATTTAATGTTCAGGACCACTGAGGCTGCTGCTGTTAGTTTGGTTGACCTGGGCACATGTGGAGCCTGTTCACACACCTGGGAGCCTTCAATAGCAGGCCTGGGAGGGAGGGGAGGTGCTCGCCCTGCCCCACAGGTGAGGAGGCCCCTAGATGTTAAATGATAGCTCAGGAAGGTGTGTTCAGGTCCCTGGCAACTCCAAATAACTCAGATTTTTTATCCTTTACTGTCGACAAAGCACCTTTGATGCCTGCCCTCATTAGAGGGCTGACTTCCTTAACACAGAGCCCTGCCCCTGCCTGTCCTAAAGAGAGAGGGTGCCTGCTCCTTGGCCCAAATGCAGTTGTTACCCCATGAAGCCACTGGGTTCCCTTACAGCACACCCGCTCCAATCCTGAGGGGGAGGTGCAGATGGGATCCGGGACAGATGTCTCCATTTCGCCTTGACATTTGGTTTCTGATAGGAGGCCTGGCATCTGGCCAGCACGGCAGAGCAGGGCCCGGTGGTAATATTACAGTCTTTGTCTCTGGAGCACACAGCCCAGGGCACTGCCCCCATGCCATGTGCTGAGAGAAAGTGCTGAGTGAATTGCACTGACCTGACTCATAGGCTCTGGCGTGGGTCAAGAAGGGCCCTCCCTTGCTCACTGGGTCTTCCCTCTGGTGGGCTCTCTGGAGAGCAAGGTGTATAAAGATGGGGTGGCTTAGCGCCTGTGGCTCAAATGCCTAAGGCGCTAGCCACATACACCTTAGGTGGTGGGTTCGAATCCAGTCCGGGCCCGCCAAAACAACAATGATGGTTGCAACCAAAAAATAGCTGGGTGTTGTGGCGGGTACCTGTGGTCTCAGCTGCTTGGGAGGCTGAGGCAAGAGACTCGCTTGAGCCCAGGAGTTGGAGGTTGCTGTGAGCTGTGATGCCACAACACTCTACCCAGGGGGATAGCTTGAGGCTCTGTCTCAAAAAAAAAAAAGACATATGACGGAGTCACAACCTCCCAGCAAGCCCACTGGGAGGGAGAACAGAGTTGGTATTCCAATTTTCTGCTGAAGAAATGGGCACAGAGAGATGAAGCTTTGGGGGAGACTGAACCCTGCTCTTTAGATTTTATGTTCAGGTCTCTTCTCTCCGGGATCCACTCTGCTTCTTAAAGCAAAGGCATGATCAATAATAATCTGTATCATCTGTTGGGCTCTTGTGATGGGCCAGGTGCTGTTCCAACGCATGTGCATAAATTAGCTCGCGGTCTTCACTCCACTCTGTGTGGTGGATGTCGTTCCAGGTGGGGAAGCTGAGGCCAGAGAAGCGTGTTGCCCAGAGTCATATAGCTCCTCAGAAATGGAGCTGGGATTTGAACTCTGAAAGTCATGTACTTCTTTGGATGGAAAAAGAACTAGAAAAGACTGGGACCCGTGAAAGGACAAAAACACGCACTGACAGTTGGGCCAAGCACCATTGTTTTGTTTCTGCCCTTTTGATTCTGCCTGATCATGTCGGGCAGGTTACATCTGATGCCCAGTGGACCCAGGCATGCTGTGATCTGAGCATCAGAGCACATACCAGGTGCATCCCTCGGTATCCCAGAGGCCTTCTGCTGTTAGGTCAGGACTCAGTGCTGAGGTTTGCCGTCATCCTCCCTCCGAGCCCTAGCAAAAGGCCACAGCGGATTCATGAGTTTATGCCAGTGAGCTACAGTTAAAGCAGCATTTCCTCAGGTTGAGGGTGGCAAGATGATCTTAAGCAATTTTTTAAACTGTCAATTATGACCCATGAGTAGATTGCAAAATCAATTTAGTGCTTCATGACCAGCATTTAAAAAATAGGAGGAAAAGAGAAATAAACATGACATATCATAGAGAAAATATCAGTAGTAGTGAAGGTATTTCCACGGAACTTCATTTGCACATATGTGTATGCGTGTGCTGGATCATGATGAGAAATATCTTACTATGGGTTATAGTAAAAAAAGTTTTGCTAGGCATAGTGGCTCATGCCTGTAATCCTAGCACTTTGGGAGGCTGAGGCAGGTGGATTGGCTGGGTTCAAGAGTTTGAGACCAGCCTGAGCAAAAGCAAGATCCCATCTATACTTAAAAAAAAAAAAAAATGGCCAGGTGTTGTGGCAGGCGCCTGTAGTCCCAGCTACTTGGGAGGCTGACGCAAGAGAATTGCTTGAGCCCAAGAGTTTGAGGTTGCTGTGAGCTGTGATGATACCACCATACTTTAGCATGGGTGAAAGAGTGAGACTCTCTCAAAAAAAAGTTTCAAAACACTTTAAGGAAGCAAATGGGTGAATTTAATTTTTGTTCTATTAGTTTTACATTGACTTTTATAGTTCATGGTGGCTTTCCATATACTACTGATGTATATGGAAAAATATATTTACTTTTCTTTTTTACTTTAATAAAATGTCACCTAAAATTTAAATTAAGTCCATGTAAATCAAAATATGCATTTGTGTAATGGTTCACAAATGTGGTAGTTTGGGAAATACTGCCTTAGACTCACTAGCTCTGGAAACTTCTACTGTGATTATTTGAAGTCCCTCTTGGTGGGTACTTGGGAATGTCTGGTACTGAGCTGAGCTCTGTTCTTGGGACAGTGGTGATGGCCATGCTGGGGCCATTGTTCTGATGGGGTTTCTGTGTTCCAGGAATCTGGCCAACTGTGAGCGCCTCATCGAAGTGGAGGACATGATGGTGATGGGCCACAAGCCGGACCCCATGTGCATCTTCACCTACGTCCAGTCGCTGTACAACCACCTGCGTCACTTTGAGTAATGCCCTCAGGCCTGGAGAGCCAAAGAGCCAGCCCAGGAGGAGCCTGTGGGCCTCTGTGTTCCCCAGGCAGGATGACCCCTAGAAGAGCTGCCTTGCGGTGTGAGCGCTGTTTGTTCTGTGGTGTGTGACTGCGCTCCCCTCCGCGCCCAGCTGTGTTACTGATTAAAAGCACAGCTGAGCTGTGCTCTGACTGCGCTGATCACAGCCAAGTGCTGGAAGGAAAATTACCAGGAAGAGAGAGAGAGAGAGAAATTGGTGCTAAGTAAGGATCTTCCTAAAGAAATGCTTGTCTTTGTAGATTCTGGAATGCTAAATTACTATTTTCCCTCTGGTGAATTTGATACATCGGCTTTACAGGGTTACATTGATTACCAAATGTTTTTTATCAAAATACCTAGAGTTTTTTACTTCCTCACACTATTGTAGGTTTCTTTCCTCCCTCCCTCTGGGCGGCTGCCAGGAAACAGAGAGACTGCTTAATCAGCAGCTTGACAAAGAAGACCGAAGTCTTGGGAAGAAACAATTTAATCACTCCCAAGACCTGGGCAACAGATGACCTTTGCGTCACCTCTGCTCTCAGGGGAGGTGGGAAGGCTCTCGCCTTGGTCCCAAAGTGCTCCTGTCCTTCCCAGGAGGCCCCACTTGGTGTTTAGCTAAGAATAGGCTCTTGGGAAGTTAATACTTTTGGGGAAGGATAGGTCTTTTGTGCTGAGAGAGAGTTTTAGTCACATCTTTTTAGGGGATTTGCTGCAGATATTTATAAAAGGCAACTCCGTCTGTACCATTGACCCATTTGTACATAAAAAGATGTGTTGAACTTTGCTTGGGATTTGTTATTTCTGTTTGAGAAATGTGGGTTCCATAAATAAGAGTCTTCACACACATTCCAAATAACCTAATTTAAACCCCACCCTAACTGTACTGAAATTACTTGCCTGTGAAAAGTTGCAGATGACATTTGCTGCCACTGAATCTGCCTGCCAGTCACCCATCTCCTTGCTGTGGAAAGAGCTTGAACACAGAGTTTTCTCTCAAGGTGTAGCCTCTGGACGTTGACTGACATATCTATGATAAACAGTGGCCCAGATCTTGGGGACCTCCTGCACTTGGAGGAATCCCGTCAAGGAGCATTGTTTTATTTTCACAGCTGTTTGGTAGTAAGATTTTAATAGGAAAATCTTTTAGAGTCTATAAAGCGTCAGCCATTAGCTTATTCTTATTTTTTTTTGAGACAGAGTCTCACTATGTCACCCTGGGTAGAGTGCCGTGATGTCACAGCTCCAGCAACCTCACATTCTTGGGCTTAAGCAATTCTCTTGCCTCAACCTCTCAAGAAACTGGGACTACAGGCACCTGCCATAATACCTGGCTGTTTTTTGGTCGTAGTTGTCATTGTTGTTTGGCAGGCCCAGGCTGGATTCAAACCCGCTAGCTCTGGTGTATGTGGCTGGTACCCTAGCCGCTGAGCTACAGGCACCGAGCCCATTAGCTTATTCTTAGTCAAGAATCATTTCATAATTTGGTAGGATTTTGGCCATGAGCTTCTAAAACTTCCCTTTAAGGAGCTAATAGATGCCTTCATCTCATGCAATGGACTCTCAATACCAGTGCCTTTGTGGGATCACGTGTGTGTCCCTTGTGCTGGGAGGCAGAAGGTCCTTGGGGGTGGCAGGACTCATAGGTGGGTGAACAGTAGTCTTCATGGGCATGTTGCTTCAGGCTCCAGTCTTGCCCCCTCTCTGGGATTCTCCCATGGTGGGAACAATTCCTTTGCAAGCTGTCTCATCTCTTGTAGGCTTGAGAAGGTGAGTCCTATTATTAGCAGAGACACATAACTAAAGGTTAGGGTTTCAAACCTAAAGCCAATTTGGGAACACAAGGGCTCTGTAAAAATCATGCCCATATGTTACTGAATATTCGCACACATCAAATAGAGCTCTCCTAAGTTGCAGACGTGGCCTTGCAGCTTTGCACATAAACTAGAGCAGATCCGGCTGGAATAAGCAACAATTTGTCTTAAACTGTAGGAAAAGTGTCCCTCATGTCTCACATATCTAGAATAACACAGACTAGTATTTTAAAAGTCAGTTCCATGATGTTCTTGTCTGTCGTCTTTGGAGATGGGGAATGAGAGATTATAAGAGTTAATGAGTTTTAAACTTGATTATCTCTAGGATGAAGCATGAGGGTTCCAAGTCACGGGGGAGGGAATGCAATAAGGCTTCACACTCAGACGTTTGGAGACCACTGTGTTAGATTAGGGTTACATGAATGTTCTCCATTTGTGAAATCTGATTTTATATTGCCTTCTACCATAGTAGGGAGGTTTTCACATCTTTTTTCCTCTGCTGAGAGAATTATTATAAGATTTTTCTGTTTTTTTCCAGATAGATTTCTTCACCTGGATTTTGTTAAAACTTATTAAGTCTGACCAAATTGGCGTGTGTGTTTCCCCGAAGTGAATGTTTTCCCAGAGCCAAAGATGGGTTTTAGCTTTTCTGACAGCTGATGCATACTTTTCAAGGCAAGTGAGCACCTATAAGCACTTTCTGAATATGATATAGCACATGCTGGTGAGAGGAGGACAGACAGGCCAGGTGTTCGGGGAACAGTTTGTTAAAGCCAATGCCTTTCGCAAATGTGTTAGATGATGAGAAGTTCTCAGCTTTCCCAGTTGCAGTGGTCAGGGCTCTGTAACTGGAGACCAGCATGAGAGAGGATTTTATTCTCTGCCATTATGACCAGGTCTATATGACTCAGGCATTTGGATAGAAGATGAGAAATGCTGATTCAGTTGGTCCGTTTTGAGTGGGACATTTCACTAATATAGCAGAACCAACTCTGGTTTGGGTTTCTTTAGCTGGTGACAGATGACCAGCTCATTCTGATGAATTGGTTATGCCTATGGACATGGTCAACTTAATTTATTCTTTCCCTCTCCTAGGTATGCTCCTCGACTTGGTATGATTATTTCTGAGCCATCTTCTTTCTTTCTTTTCTTTTTTTTTTTTTTTTTTTTTTTTTTTTTTTTTTTTTTGAGACAGAGTCTCACTCTGTTACTTTGGCTAGAATGCAGTAGTATCATCACTGTAACCTCCAACTCCTATAGGCACTTACCACCATGCCTGGCTAATTTTCTTTCTTTCTTTTTTTTTTTTTTTTGGTAGGGATGTGGTCTCATTCTTGCTCAGGCTGGTCTTGAACTCCTGGCCTCAAGGGATCCTCCTGCCTCAGCCTTCCAGCCACTTTGCCCAGCCATTTTTAAGGTTTTGTTTGAGTTTGCTTTTAGAGCCTTTGATCTCAGATCTCTTTATTTTTGGGCTTGCTTTGACATCAGCAGCCTTTATAGTTCTTTGAAAGAGCACATGAAAAATCCCTAAGACTAGCCCTTTCCTTAGAAAGCACCAAACAAGAAAAAGCACCCATGAAAAATGGAACCAGAGAGGCTCTACTGTCCCAGGCATCCCTCAGCTGGAGGGAGAAGGGCCACCTTGTAGACTAAGCTGGGTGGGGCCCTGAATCAGAAGGGCAGGTGCTGTGGTTGGCAGCATCATCTTGACTTTCCATCTTCATCTCTTAAATTGATCCCTTAAGTTTTTTACTTTCCTGTAGATAGGGCGGTGGTTCTCAACCTTCCTAATGCCGCGGCCCTTTAATACAGTTACTGTGGGTCGATCCACAGGTTGAGAACCACTGACATAGGGGAAAAATAGCTATCTTTTTTGCAAACTCAATTTTTAACCATTCCCAATAACACGTGTGCTTATCTTATTTGCTGGCTCAGTGGCACTCGTGCTGTTGGACCCCTCTTTCTGGCCTACCCCACCTCCGTGGCTGATTTTTCCCTTCTCTGTTCCTTCATGATGGCCTCCTCCTCCTCCACCTGTGGTTTGAAACCCAGTGCCTGCCGCGTGGGCTTTGGGGAGTCTGAATTGAATGTTTGACTCTCCTTTTTCCTCTTAAGCTGTCTCCTTCTCCAGGTTTGCTACCTCAGCAAATGGCAGCACCGTCACCACCAGTTGTCCATGCTAGACAAGGAGGTGACCCTTGAATCTGGATGCTGTGGGGCTCTCCACTTGCTTTTTGCCATGCATCATGAAGGAAGCCAGGATGCCTCAAACTTTCCATCTGTGTCCTGGAGCATCAGAACTATTAGTTTTCCACAGGTTTTATTTTGAAAAAATTTTCAAATCTACAAGGAAGTTGAACGCGTAGTTCAGGGAACATCCATATTCCTTTGCCTTGTTGACTTTCTGCCTTGTTGGTGTTGTCTCTCTTTCTCTCTCTATGTAGTTATTTTTGTCTTTTTTTTTTTTGGGGGGGGGGGGCTATTTGTAAGTCCATCTTAGATATCATGAAACTTACCCCCTGAATACTTTAGCAAAAATCCTCCAAGAGTAAGAGCATTCTCCCCCATCTGCACGGTACCTTGGCATACCCAAGATATCAAACATTCGTTCATCCACAGTCACATTCAAATTTCTGCAGTTGTTCCCACATGCCTTCTTACGGCTACTAAAAAAGAAAAAAAAGCCCAGGATCCAATCAAAGTTCACATAGTGCCTTTGGTTGTGTTGCCTCTTTATTTCTTTGGCTGGAGAACAGCCCCTCCCTTTTTTGTTTACTGTCTCTTTTTCACTGGACTCTTGCCTTGTAGGTTGTCCCATAGAGTACCTCTGTCTGTTTCTTCCTGGTTAGATTCAGGTAAACCACACAGGGCCCAAATGCTTTGCGGGAGATGGATATTTTGTGGCATCACATCAGGAGCACACATGGTGGGTTGGCTGTTCTTGGTCATGCTAGGTTTGGTGACATGTCTAGGTGGTGTCCCCCAGACACCCCTTCCTGCTGTGATTAGTTAGAAATATGTGGGGCAATGCTTTTGAGACCAGGTGAGTATCCTGTTTCCCAACAACCCAATACTTTTAGGATTGATTGCCAGCCTCCCAGCCATTTTGACAATTTTTGCCTGAATCTGTAATTATATTGGGGGTTGAAAATGGCAATCTAAACACTCTATCATTTCTTCTATATTTAGTGGATGGCATTGTCCTATAAAGATCTTTTCCTTTCCCTACCTCAGTTTTGAGTGTTACCACGGACTCATGGATGACTCTTCTTTTTAAAAATGCAGTATGGCCGGGCATGGTGGCTCACATCTGTAATCCTAACACTCTGGGAGGCCAAGGTGGGTGAATTGCCCTGAGCTCATGGGTTCGAGACCAGACTCTACAAGAGTGAGACCCCATCTCTAAAACTAGCTGGGTGTTGTGGTGGGCACCTGTAGTTCCAGCTGCTTGGGAGGCTGAGGCAAGAGGATCACTTGAGCTCAAGAGTTTGAGGTTGCTGTGGGCTATGATGTCATAGCACTTTATCAAGGGTGGCAAAAATTAAAAATAAAAATAAATGCAATATGTCAAGATCTTTTACTGTCATTCTTTTTTATGCTCAAAAATTGTCTAAAGTTTGTCCAGTATGGGAAGCCTGTCTTGAGTCACATCCCCATGAGTTTTTTTTTTTCTTTTTTTGAGACGAAGTCTCACTTTGTTGCCTTTGGTAGAGGTAGAGTGCTGTGGCTTCATAGCTCACAGCAACCTCAAACTCTTGGGCTCAAGCAATCCTCCTGCCTCAGCCTCCCAAGTAGCTGGGACTACAGGTGCCCCCGCCACTATCCCCACCTAGTTTTTCTATTTCAGTAGAGACCCTGTCTCTCTCTTGTTCAGGCTAGTCTCCAACTCTTGAGCTCAAGTGATCCACCTGCCTTGGCCTCCTAACAGTGCTGGGATCTCAGGTGTGAGCCACCACCTAGCTTTCTTTTTTA